AGAATAGAATAGAATAGAATAGAATAGAATAGAATAGAATAGAATAGAATAGAATAGAATAGAATAGAAAACCTTTATTGTCATTGCATTCTACGAATACAATGAAATTTGAAAGCTACCCCAGCACAGTGCCCCAAACACCACATCACAATCACATTACAGAGTTTAAAAATTAAAATAATTATAATAATAATAGGACTAGATCATAATGGAATAGAACAGAGGAAAGAAAAAAAGAATAGAATAGAGGAGAGGAAAGGAAAGGAAAGGAAAATAGGATAGGATAGGATAGGATAGAACAGAACAATAGAACAGAACCGTGGAAAGGAGAATGGAATGGAATGGAATGGAATAGAAAAGAGAATAGAATAGAATAGAATAGAGAATAGAATAAAGAATAGAGTAGAATAGCACAGAACATGGAATGGAATGGAATAGAATAGAGGAAAGGAAAATAGAATAGAATAGAAATAAAAGTAGAATTCTTTATTGACCAAGTGCGATTGTACACAGAAGGAATTTGTCTCTGGTGCATGTGGTCTCATACAAGCAACCAAGGGATAAATCATGATCATAAATAATCCTCATAAAACACATTCATCCTAACCTAAATCATAAGATACAACCATTAGTGATAGTCATAGGAATACTAAGCAAGCAATCAACACAAACCACACTAGGATAGTAAAGAAAGCAACACAAATCGTAAGATACAAGCAAAAAAGGGCATCCGAAAAGAAAGAAAGAAAGAAATATCTGAGGAGCTGCAGAATTGCAGCCCGAATCTCCAGCGTCTTTTTAACCCCAGTTGACAAAAAGGGACCAGGGTCTAATGTTGCCTCTTTTGCACTTCCTCCCAGCTCAGCCTTGTCAGCCGACCCGCCTTGCCAGCCCCTGCCGTGGGCATTGGAGTGCTGCACCAGAAACAACAGCAAAATCTCCTCACCGAAACGTTCGCTTGAAGGCTTAACCCACTGTGGGACTTTTGCTGTTAACAACGAGGCCTGGAAAGCAAAAAAAGAAAAAAGAAAAAATCCAAAACTCAAAAAAACTTCTTCTTTTTTTTTTTTACTCTTGAGGTTCTATGCTACCGAAATGAATTTGGCCAAACCGGAGTTATAAAACGGGAGTTTTTCTCTCTTCCTTTTCCTTGCAGATGTCCAATTCTGCCAGTGCAAATTCCTGGGATTTAAACAGGGGTGCAATTCAACCAATGTAACAACCAGTTCAGTGAGCCCGCACATGCAGAACATTTGCTACTGATAACAGATAATCAGAGTTGGAAGGAACCTTGTAGGTCATCTAGTCCAACCCCCTGCCCAAGCAGGAGACCCTACACCAATTCTGGCAGATGGGAGTCCAATCTCTTCTTGAAAGCTTCCAGGGATGAAGCTCTCAGGCAACTTTTGTTCCATGGGTTGACTGTTCTCACTGTCAGAAAGTTTCTCCTGATTTCCAGGTTGAATCTCTCCTTGTTCAGTTTCCATCCATTATTCCTTGTCTGGCCTTCGGGTGCCTCAGAGAATAGCTTGACCTCCTCCTCATCTCTGGGGCAGCCTCTCAAATATTGGAAGACTGCTCTCCTGTCTCCCCTGGTCCTTCTCTTCCCTAGACTAGCCAGGCCCAGTTCCTGTAACCGTTCTTCATATGTTTTAGCCTCCAGTCCCCTCATCATCCTGGTTGCTCTTCTCTGCACTTTTTCTAGAGTCTCAACATCTTTTTTGATAGTCTGGTGACCAAAACTGGATGCAGTACTCTAGGTGTGGCCTTACTAAGGCTTTATAGAGTGGTATTAGTACCTCCCTTGATCTGGATTGTATCCCTCTGTTAATGCAATTTAGGATTGCATTGGCTTTTTTATTTTTACTGACCTTCTCCAGCAATCTCTGTGTGTTAAACCAGTGATTCCCCAACCTTTTTTATGCCGCGGCCCGGTACTGGCATCAGCTGGGCACCGCGGCCCGGTACCGGCATCAGCTGGGCGCCGCTATCTTTTTTTGATGAAAAAGTGCTTCCGGTGAGCTTTCTACCCGGAAAAGCTCACCGGAAGCACTTTTTCATCAAAAAAAGATGGCGGCGCCCAGCAAACCAATGGCCCGGTAGGACTTGTTCCATGGACCGGTACCGGTCCGCGGACCGGTGGTTGGGGACCCCTGTGTTAAACAGCTGATGTCCAAATCAGCTGAACTTGCAAACCAGGATATAAAGCACAGACTAGAGCCCCAGCCGCTTGGGGGGGGGGGGGCAACAGCTGACCATCGGAGCAAACTGATTCTGATCATCAGAGCGAACCGGTAGAATCTCACCCTTGGATTTAAACCTGTTTACATTTCTCCGCCTTCGCACCGACGGGTGAGCGTGGAGAATAGACCAACCGTTTTTTAAACCAGTACAATGATTTTTATCGAAGTTCTTAAATCATATTACAATGCAGCAGGGGATCATCCTGTTTAGCTGGCTTGCCTGTGGCATTACAAACCAAACTGTAGGATTTAGTGTTTTCCATTAAAACAAAAAATAACCCAGGGGTGAATTTCTCAGAAAGAATTTCTTAAAAGTAGTTTTTCTGAGACCTGTAGAATAATTTATGACAGTTGATCTGCCTTTGGCAACAAAGGTGAAGTGTCTGTAAACCACAGAAAATCAGGGAATTTTTAAATGCAGGAATTATACAGCTCTGATTGCAAAAACAAGCCCTGTTATATGGGTGCACTTTAACCATCTAAAAGCTGCATAGGCCTACTTTATGCAAATAAAAACATTAATCTGGGTTATGTCCTTTTGGATTCCAGACAGTGGAATAATGTTGCTCAACAATTCTCGTCAGAAAAATAATAATTTTTATGTACAAAGTATGGTTATGGGTGCCATGTGCCAGCCTTAAATTTATTTTATGATGTACTTAAATATGAAGCTATACATTTTCCATCCATAGTCCAAAGTACAAATATTTTCACCAACATCTTTACTGGTTCCTTAGAGTTGAAATTGATTATGAAAGGGTTTTTTTGCCATCTAATCAATGCCATCTTATCAACCACATACACAGATTTTTTTTGGGGGGGGGGGGGAGATTTGAAATGGAGAAAATATGAATTGAAAACTGCAACTGTGTAATGAATTATAGTAGGTTCTGTTCTCACATCTATAAAATGGGATTAAATTGATATTCTGTATGATGAAATAATGCGGGTGTAAAATATCATTTTTTTCTCCCTTTTATTTGGTTTGCTGTGAATGCCTTAATTGTATTTTCTGTACCTGCAACCAAAATGTTTTAGGAACTGTGACAATTGATTTCTTTTCAAATCTTTTCATGTTTCCAAACTAACATTTATCGCACTACCCCAAATGCATTTTCTGTTTCTTTATTGCCTTGAAAGATCTGATCCCAGAAAATCCTTGTATCTTTAGCGATTTGGGGCTGAAAGGAATTTCTCAAGGATGATTTTTAAGTTTGGATAAGAGAGAAGGCCACCAGGTCAAAGAAATCACTCTGCAGAGCAAACTGCTATTTGAATTCCGAGTTCTTGAATTGAAAATTGCCACTAAATCCAACTCCTGCTTAATAAAAAATTCAAGCATCCTTGATAGATGCGTTCTTGTTTTCTGTTTGAAGAAAAACTGGTTTTTACTGTTGTTGCTGTAACTCTTTTTCAGAGGGAAGCAAAGACATGGTCTTGAATATCAACATACACCACTGTAATAAAACTGAAATATCAAAGTTACATGGAGTCTTGAATCTTTCTCTTATTTTAATAATAAAAAGCTGGTTTTTATGTCTAACTGATAAGCAGAAAAGTTGTCCTACAAACTATGGTGTCTCTCTTTATTTTTGTCCCATGAGCATAAAAATACAGATATTACAATCTGTACTTTACTTACGACCACAACTGAGCCCCAAACGTGGTGTGTGTGGATGGGTGGGTGGGTGGGTGTGGATGAATGAATGAAACATAGCTGACAACTCTATGCTGAGAAAATAAAATAATTATAAAAATCAGATGTGGTAGGACGAAGAATTCAGAGACGGGCAGGAAGACCCAACCAAGATTCTCTGCAAATATCCATTTATTTTTAAGAAATGCATCCGATGCTGCACAATCTGCCTCTGATGCAGCCAGGCCCCTCCCTTCCTTCCCTTTTCTTTCCTTCCTTCCCTTTTCTTTCAGTCCTTCCCTTCCCTTCCCTTTCCTTCCTTCTTCCCTTCCCCTTTCTTTCCTTCCTTCCCTTTTCTTTCAGTCCTTCCCTTTCCTTCCATTCCTTCTTTCCCTTTCCTTCCTTCCCTTTCCTTCCTCCCTCCCTTCCTCCCTTTTTTTCTTTCCTTTTTTTCCTTCCTTCTTCCCTTCCCTTCCCTTCCTTCCTTCCTTCCCTCCCTCCCTCCCTTTCTTCCTTCCTTCCTTCCGCATTACATCTCCCCTCCTTAACACAGATGATGATGCACAGCTCCTCCGTGGGCTCCAAAAGATCTGGACACCCCCAGCCAGGCCCAGCACAGGTAGTCCTCGACTTAAAAACAACCACAATGGAGACCAGGATTTATGCTACCAAGCGAGACACGCGTTGTCAGCTTTGTCCCATTTTGCGACCTTTCCAACCGCAGGCATTAAGCAAATCACCACCGTTGTTCAGTTAGCAACGCCAGTTGTTAAGCAAATCTGGCTTCCCCATTGACTTTGCTGGTCGGAAGGTCGCCAAAGGGATCCCACAATCCCCGAGGATGCTGTGACTGTCGTAAATGCGAGTCAGTTGTCAAGCATCCCGACCGTGGGAATGGTGCAACGGTCGTTAAGTGTGAAAAACGGGCATAAGTCATTTTTTTTCAGTGCCACTGTAAACTAAACGAACGGTTGCAAGTCGAGGACCGCCAGTACGAGCTTCCTGCTTGCAAAGGGCTCGCGGCGTTCACTAAACGAACGGTGCAAGTCGAGCACCGCCTGCACTGAGCTGCGGAGCTTGCCAAGGGAGAGGAAGGGCCCATCCTGAGAGAAGGGGGGGGTTACCTGAGAAAACGGGCTACCCGGTCTTCTCTCACCTCCCCCTCTCCGCGCTTGGGTGCCGTTGGTTCGGTCCCGGCGCCCTCTAGCGGGAATGGGGAGGCGCGACGTCCTCCTCCCGCTCGTCGCGCCGCTTAAGACGTCACCGGTCACGTGGGCGGAGGCCGGCAGCCTCCCGAGCGGCGAGGAGGCCGGAGGCGGGGTAGGGGAGTTGCTGCAGCCTGCCTGCCTGCCTGCCTGCCAGCCCCGCGGAGCCCGGAGCCCGCCTCCGCCAGCATGGGCAGTGAGTGGAGGGGCCGGGCCGGGCGGGGGTCCCCCTCCTCACCGTTCCTCTCCCCCCCCCCGGTGGCCCCCGGGCTCATTCCGGGCTATGGGTCCCCTCGGGGGAGAGAGGGAGGGAGGAGAAGGAAGGAAGGAAGGGGGGAAAGGGAAAAGGAAGGAAAAGGAAGGCAGGAGGGAGGAGAAAAAAGGAGGGAAGGGGGAAAGGAAGGAGGGAATGGGAAGGAGGAAAAAAGGGAGGAAGGAAGCGGGGAAGGCAAAGAAGGAAGGAGGAAAAAGGAGGGAGGGAGGAAGGAAAAGGGAAAAGAAGGGAATGGGAAGGAAGGAGAGAGAAGCAAGGAGGGAGAAAGGGAAGAGGAAGGAAGGAAGGTGAAAGGGGGAAAGAAAGGAGGGAAGGGGAAGGAAGAAAAAAGGAAAGGAGGGGGAAAGGAGGGAAGGGGAGGGAGGAACGAAGGGAAAAAGGGAGGGAGGGAGGAAAAGAAGGGAATGCGAAGGAGGAGGGAGGGAGGGGAAAAAGGAGGGACCGGGATTGAAGGAAGAAGAGGAAGGAAGGAGAGATGGAAAAGAGGGGAGAAGGAAGGAGGGAAAAGGGGAGGGATGGAAGAAACGGGGGGGGAGGGTACCCAGGACATTGCAGGGCTGGGATCAGGGGCTCCTTGGGGGGGTTGCAAAGTTGAAGCCGGCCCCCCCCCCCCCATCGTGCAGTGCATTGCTGGTATTTCATTTCCCCCCTCTCCTGCAAGGCTTGTGGCTTGTGGGAGGGTTGCTTGGTGACACCCCACCCCACGTATGGTTTTTGTAGTTGCATATGTACCTGCTGTTGGCATGGAGAGGTGGGCTGAGAGATACTTGGGAGTAGAGTTGCCTTCCTCCCTTATTTCCTTCCCACTTTTCCTTCCTTCCTCTCTTTCCCTCCTTCCTTTTTCCCTTATTTCCCCTCCCTTCCTCTCCTTTCCCCTCCCTCCCTTTTCCCCTCTTCCCCCCCCCCCCCCCCCCCCCCCTTCCTTTTTCCCTCCCTTCCTCCCTTCCTTATTCCCCCTTTCCTTCCTCTTCCTTCTCTCTTTCCCTCTTTCCTCTCTTCCCCTTCTCTCCTTCCTTTTTTCCCTCCCTCCTCCTCTCCTTTCTTCCTCTCCTTTTCTTCCTCCTTCCTCTCCTCCCTTCCTTATTCCCCCTTCCTTCCTCTCCTTCCTCTTCCCTCCTTCCCTCTCTCTTTCCTCCCAACCTTCTTCCTTTTCTGTTCCCTCCTGATATGGCAGCCACTGCTGCCACTTAAAGTGTCACCCCTGGATTAGCCCTGGTACAAACCTGCCCAGGCCCGATATTGGAGTCATTGCCTCCAAAACCCATCCCCCCAAAAGGCCAATGGACCTTCCTTTTTCTTTCTTTCTTTCTTTCTTTCTTTTTCTTTTTTGTCCTTCTCTCCTCTCCTACCTGCACATGAGGTTGGTCCATGCTCCGAGGGGGATGCAAAATACAACGACGTTTGCTCAGGTTCTGGTGATGATAAACATGGTTGTATGAGGTGCCACGTCTTGAGCGAACTTTGCCAGTAGGAAGTATGTCAAGTGTCTGTTTGGTAGAGATCATGTCACAATTCACTATAAATCAAATGGTTGCACGGATTTGTAGTTGCACGACTGGCCTTAGGAAAATACACCTGCTTTTAAATCTGTGGATGTTGCAGGATCTATCTAGAGATAATAGGTGCTTGTTAAATGCACGACTTCAAATTATTATGAAGGCCAATTCAGGGAGGTAAAATAGGGTTTTCTAGATATTTTAAAAACTATAATACAATAAACTGCAACCAACAATTGTGGATTCTAGGAGTTTTAATGTCTAGCCTTTGATGGGCTCCACAATTTTGCACACAAAACACTCTTGTGTTTTATCTTTTCCTCAAAGCTGAAATAAGGTTAGGAAAAGTTTGCTTTTTCTTAAACGTAGCAATAATGTTGCACTTAGGTATTTGTTCCTTAAAGCTAGCCAATACTTTGGCTCATAAGTTTTCATTAAACACAGTCCATAAATGCACAAATATCTTGTGCATTGTTCTGGTGAGAGGGACAATTTGTGCAGAAATATTTATTTGGGTAAATAAAAGAGAAGTAATAAAATGAGAAAATTGCTTTGGATGTGACTAATCATAAAAGAGCATTTAACTGCTAGTGATGCAGGCTTTCTTGTATGCATATATATATTTAAATAAAAGACCATTTCTTATACAGGTAATCCTTGACTTAACAACAGACCAAAGTTACAATGGCACTGGAAAAAAAGTTATTTATGACCATTTCTCACACTTATGACCATTGCAGCATTCCCCACGGTCGTGTGATTTATTTTCGGATGTTTGTAAACTGACTCAAAATTTAGGGGCTCCGTTGTGGATTTATCTATGAGTTCTTCCAAATGATACTCAACATTGACACAGCCCCCTTGTGTGTCATAGGCATTAAAGTGAGACAAATATTTGCAGGCAGTTAAAGGAAGTTCTCTTGGCAATACTTTGCATGTTCTGTACTTTTATTCTCACCTCTATTATCGCCGTAATGTATGTTGTGCCTTTTTTTTTTAATCTTTTAACAGTCAAATTTCTGGAACTCATTAAGCCCTTCTGTGCTGTTTTACCCGAAATCCAGAAGCCTGAAAGGAAAGTAAGTGCCGTGACTTTTCTTCTGCAAGACTCACGGAAGGCATTTTTAAAGTCTTAAAATTCTAGGAAATCAGGTTCTTAAAGAGAAGACGTGGGAAATTTGAGTGCTGTCTGTAATTTTCAAATATAAATGAGATTGTGGAAATTTGGGTAGATAATGTTAAGAATGTCTGAAGGTAAATTCTGCTTATTTGGCTGAGACTTACTTCCGAGTCTGTGTGCAAACAGATTTCACTAAACATCCATTAAGACCATTGGATGAAGTATTTCCCTTTAGTCATGCATGGAAAAAAGGACTTAATTTACAGTATCCCAGCGGTAAGATAGGGAAGCTCTTAATATTTGCTTTTGAAGTCCTTGGTGTTTTCTGAGCTTCCTTGTATTCTTACAGACATCTCATTACCAAAGTAGGTAAGATCATCAGTGTCGAAGCGAGTGGGGTTTGCACTATTGATAATGAGCAAGCCCCAGTGAGAACAAGGCCCATTCTCTCCTAGCACTGGTGATGTTACTTAGTTGGGTAGTGAAAGTTCTGCTATAAAAATAAAATAAAACCAAGCTCAGGGAATGGACTAAGGAACCCACAATTCAGTCCTGAGCTATAAATAATTCTCTTCTATCAGTACTTCCTTTTGACTCTGTGTACTTGTGAAAGTAAAAAAAACGATTCAACTAGCACAACACGTTTGTCCCCTCAAGTCCTAACCCATCATTGGCCTTACTTTTTGAACCTCAGCTGTCTCTACTGTATCTGATAATTCCATATAATTAAGTACAAGTTCATTTTGTGAATATTATAACATGGTGATGTGGTTGTCCCAAGGGTCCTTCTTTTCAAGAGGCAACTGGACTTTCTGGTTTTTCTTTTGAAGACGTTTCGCTTCTCATCCCAGAAGCTTCTTCAGCTCTGACTGTGTTATGGTTTGCCGGCAGCAGGTGCGGACGGCTGAGGTCTCAGAGAGTGAGGATTTGGATGAAGGGCCCCCGTGTGATGCAGGGATAGGGCCAGGACCATCAGGGAGTGGAGCGCTGCCTTCGGAGTTGTGGAGGCTGGCAGCATTGAGGAAGAGGTCCCTGAAGAGCCTGTGCCCGGTGCCTGCAGGGCTGCTCGAAGGAAAGAGCAGATGCAGTAGCAGGAGCGACTCAGGAGTAAGGCTGCAAGCTGATGGCCCCTCCCTGAAGAGATAAAAGCCAGCTGAGAAACCGGAGTTATTTGCAGGAAGCAAAGAAGTTTTTGCACTCAAGCCTTGTGGATGTTCGGATTCTCTTGGTTGGTGTTTGGAGACTCTTTGTGTTTGAACTATTTCTTGGCAACTTTATCTAGTGTTCTTGGCAGCCTTGCACCACCTTGGCAAGGCTCGTTCTTATCAGAGACAATAAGTTTGAAACAGCCTTTTAACCAGGAAGGAACAGAATTCGTAAAGAATCATTAAAAGGTTTTGCTGTTACCTCTGTTTCGTGTTTGTTTCCTTGGAACAAGGCTTGGGTCAGAACAAACTGGATGGTGGGAAAGGGAAAGGATTTATACTCCTTGCAGACAGTTGGTCATTTGCATCCTTTAAGAGGGTTGTTGAGGCCACTTGGAGGTTTACCTGTATCCCTGGAGTCACCTGAATGGTGCAAATGGGTGTGGAGCCTTCTTGGAACTGCTGAAAGGACTGTGTTGTAGACTGGAGGTAGATGATGTCGTATCCCTCCCCGTCTATTGAGAGGGCTGTTCAATTTTGACCTAGATGGCCTCTTGGACCCCCTCTTTCAAACCAGCTGTCTTCTCAGTCCGAAATGATGACATGATCATTCATCTGATGACACACAATAAACCTCCAAGTGGCCTCAATGACCCTCTAAAAGGATGCAAATGACCAGCTGTCTGCAAGGAATATAAATCCTCCCCTTCCTCACCATCCAGTCAGAGCTGAAGAAGCTTCTCAGATGAGAAGCAAAATGTCTTCAAAGAAGAACAAGGAAGTCCAGTTGCCTCTTGGCATGAATGACTGAGAATCTCCATGGACATGGAGATGTGGTTCTTTTGTTTTTTCATCTTGCTATCCTAAACAATTTATATTGGTTAACTTGGTTTTATTTTACAGATTCAGTTCAGAGAGAAAGTTTTATGGACAGCTATCACCCTCTTCATTTTTTTAGTATGCTGCCAGGTAAGAATTGACCTCAATGATAGGCCAAGATCCTTTAAATGCTCACCTTCTATCAGACTAACGTATAGTCTGCCTGATGTTCCAAGATAATCGATAGGGCTGGAGGTTGTACGTTCTGCTGCAGAAGTCCTTTGACATTCATAAAGGCAGTCCTTGACTTAACGACCACAATTGAGCGCCAAATTTTTGTGGTTAAGTGAGTTTTGCGCTTTCTCACCCTGGTTGCTAAGTGAATCCCTGCCATTGGTAAGTTAGTCACCCAGTCGTGAAGCGAATCTGACTTTGCTGGTCAGAAGGTACCAAAATGGGATCACTTGACTCCCCCCCCCCCCCCCCCCGGGCACACCGCAACCGTCATAAATGTGAGTCAGTTGCCAAGAGTCCGAATTTTGATCATGTGATCATGGGGATGCCTCAAAGATCGTAAGTGTGAAAAATGGTCATAAGTCATTTATTCCGGCGCCGTTGTAACTTTGAACGGTCACTAAACAAACTGTTGTAAGCTGGTATATACTAACTGTATATACCAACATTCATAGAAGTGTGGTTGCTGATAAAGAACCAGAAAGGGCATAAATGTGTCCAGAAGATTTGGGGCACTGATTCTTCATGTGTGGTTGCACACTCGCACTCTCGTGCCAGCACCCAGAAGGCAGTGCGCGCTCCCCGTGCCCCCTATGCATGCGCGAGCAATCCCCACCCACCCCCTTACCTGCACTGGCCTCCCAGAGGCTTGAGGAGGGCTTCTGCAGGCTTTGAAGGCCGAAAACTAGGCCCGTTTCGTCACTTCCGGTATTTTCAGAAAAACAAGTGACGAAACGGCTAGTTTTCGGCCTGCAAAACCTGCAGAAGTTTTCCTCAAGCCTTTGGGAGGCCGAAAAGGCCTCAAACCAGCCGAAAATCAGGTGTGAGGCGCGCGCATGCGCAGTGAGGTAAGTTTGCTTGCAGCTCATGTGCTGGCACAAATGGCTGTGCGTACCATCTGTGGCACGCGTGCCATATGTTCGCCATCACGGGAGTAGGGGAATTGAGGATTAAGAGAAATCATTTGGACCTGTCTTATATTTCGTATTTGCCACCAAAAAAGGCACCAGGTCTTATTTTGGGGGGATGTCCTCCACTGACACATCTCACTTATGTGCGTCACCCCGGCCTCCTTTTCTCTGTCAGAGGCCTTCAGGAACTTTTTCTTCTGCAGCCAGCAAGGCTTTCCTGAAGGCCTCTGCAGCTGATAAGAGAGCTCAGGATCGATCCAGAGCTTTGTTATCAGCTCCAGCGGTCTTGAGGAAAGCCGGGCAGGTGTCGGGGTGTGTGAGGCCTGGCTACACCTGTCCAAAGTGAAGTAGTAGGGCAGCTCCACCCCCCCATCCCCAGCCTACGTTAATTTTTACCCATCCACTCTGGAGTGAGTGGGATCTTAATTAGGGCTTATTTTGGGGTGTAGGGCTTATATTGGGTGCACGTGGAAAAATCTAAGCTAGGACTTACTTTCAGGGTAGGTCATATTTTTGGAGAAACAGGATATTAAATAGATGTATTAACCTCTAAGCCACGGGGTCTCCTCATTTTGTTGTCTATACCAGGGGAAAGATTAAGTGGTTTGTTTCTTTTTTAATTTTAACTTTATACAGGTAATCCTCAACTTACAACCAGTTTGCTTTAGGACAGTTCAAAATTACAATTTCCAGCAAAAAAAAACCTGCCCATGCAAAAGAATGTATCTATTTAACGTCCATGAGATTTGCTTAACCACCTTGTGGTTTGCATAACTGCTGTGAAAGCTGTCGTAAAATTGAGTCCACCCACGTGGTGCTGCAGTGTACAACCACAATGACGTACGACTCAAATTCTGGGCTCCTCTCGGGTGTAAGTGGAGGAATACCTGTACTGGCGGTGTGCATCCTTGAAGAATCTCCCATCAAAAAATGGTGTGGACTTTTTTTTGCCCAGAACGACTCCGTGTTTGTATGCGCCATTCTCAAAAATCACCTCTGTCTTCTATTTTCATTCATGCTTAATATTGTTCCGACTCTTGTAGATACCATTATTTGGAATCATGTCCTCGGACTCCGCCGATCCCTTCTACTGGATGAGAGTCATCCTCGCATCAAACAGGGGTTGGTGGGCTTCATTCTACTGTCTAGTCTACGTCTAGTTTGATGAAAAGAAGGACTGGGGAGGGGACAGGATAGCAGTGTTCCAATATCTCAGGGGCTGCCCCAAAGAAGAGGGATTCTCCAAGCTATTCTCCAAAGCACCAGAGGGCAGGACAAGAAGCAACTATGGGTGGAAATTCATCAAGGAGAGAAGCAACCTGGAATTAAGGAGACAGGACAATTAATTTGTGGAACAGCTTGCCACCAGAAGTTGCGGGGGCTTCATCACTGGAGGTTTTTAAAAAGAGACTGGACAGCCACTTGTCTGAAATTGTTGGACTAGAAGTCCTCTGGTCCCTTCTGACTCTGTTATTCTGTTATGCTGTCTTCCTTCCTTCCTTCCTTCCTTCCTTCCTTCCTTCCTTCCTTCCTTCCTTCCTTCCTTCCTTCCTTCCTTCCTTCCTTCCTTCCTTCCTTCCTTCCCCATCACTGGAGGTTAGGGACAACCACTTGTCTGAAATGGTGTAGGGACTCCTGCCTGAGCAAAGGGTTGGACTAGAAGACCTCCAAGGTCCCTT